CCCCCCCCCCCCCCCCCCCAAAAAAAAAACAAAACAAAAAAACCCAGCAATGTTCATTTCAGCTCCAAAAGAGAGAAGAGGAAAGCCAACGTTTGCCAAATGGAAGTACAAAATCTGTAAGGAAAGAAAATTCACAGCTTAACCATAAAGAATAAAATTAACACTACAGGGGCCTATTTTCAACTCCATTTAATTTCCACGGACAGAGTGACTGGATTGTGTCACCTCACACTGCTGTGCAAGTTTGTTTTTTTAATGACAATTATTGTACCATCATCATGAGAGCATGAATTTTAGATATACATATTCCTTTAAGTGGTGTCTATCCTGAAGCTCTAAGTGGTTGTACACAGTTTAAAAAAAAGAAGAACTCAAGCTTTAAATGGTCAAGTCCTTGGATGGCAAAAGCAGAGTCCAGTTTGACTTGTTTTAAAGATCGAAAGTTAGGGATAACATTCTGAACTGCATAACTTTCTGATCCAAGAACCTGAAGTCAGAGTATGGGAATATAGAAGAATCACTCAACAAAAAGCACAGTGCCCTCCATTCAGCCACTCTATTTCCTTCAATCCACCACCTTAAGAAAAGCACAACTCAGAATGCTCCACCAGGCTTAACAAATTCAACCAGTGTCAGATTGATGCAGGGACAGGAGCAGTTCTAGTTGAGGAACCTTCATGGTGGATACCCTGCAACTGAATCACTCCATTTTGGAAAAGCAGGGTGCAGTGCCTCCACTTATTTTAAAGTGTGATGGTACTGAACAGGAAGAAGCTGTCTCAAGTAGCCAGATCCTAAACTATCTAGGGCTTCATTGGTGTCACAGGCTAACAAATCACAAGAAAAGCTTAAAATAGATCTGGATATGTCCCAGCTACTGAGATTGTATTATTGGTTCCAGTCATAAGCAGCACTTTTTGTCCAATATTTTCATTCTAGACAGATGACAGCCTCCAAATACTCACATCTACTGAAATACCAACAGCAAATTAAAGATTCTTTATGAGTGGGACAGTCATGATAAAGATTTAGGGACAACACAGCTGGAGTATGTAGAAGGTCCTCAAAAAAGCATTAAAGAAGATACTATATTGAACCAACTATATTTTATTTTATAGCAATCATGCCGTGGTCTCTAATCTAATTTCCATTTCTTTAGCAGGAGTCTTGGTTCCAGGAATAGAAGGTTTCAAAAGCTGTTTTATTTGAATCACCTCAATTTAAAAATCAAGAAAAAAAAATCTTGATCTGGAGAGGTTATGCTAATTTTTAGTAAGAAAAGAAACTCCCCCATAAAAAGAACTGTCTATTTCATTAACGGGTCATAGAATTCCCTCCCAGAATGAACCTGTGGGAGATGGAAGATTATTTGGCAGACAGTGTGATTCGCTACATGAAGTTCCCAAGCCTCTGAGGAGAGGATAGATGATACAAGGCTAAGCAGTGCTTTTACTGCTATATTTTCTGGGGATATTTCTGCTGGCTTTCCAAAGGATGATACCGTAGATAACTGCTCCCAGTTCTGCCTCCTGAAAGTAATACCTACAAAACTAACACCTCAACTGCACAGTGAAATTTCCACCATCAGAAAGAAGGAAGGTGTTGTGCAGCCTACAGCTTGCCTTCTGTGGTTATCAAATAGATTTTGCTAGTAGTCAAGCTTCTTTGATATACTCTGTGCCAAAGTGGAGAGGGTGATAGGACTCCAGTTTTTTTTTAATTTTTAAATAAAGTACACAAATGTGTAAAAATACTTCAGAACGTGTAAAACTGCAAGTACTGACTGCATTAGAGATTACTGTACTTTGCCTTTTGTATCTTTAATTGTTCTAAAGAGGTATGAGCAACAGCTCTCGCTTACAACCTAGCTGCTTCCTGTTGATCCTGCAGAGAAAACAGTCCTCCTATCAGAGGAGGCAAGTAGGAGACAGACTAGGGAGAAGGAAAACCAGCTAGCTAGATACCTCTGGCAAGAGACCTAAGAAATGTTATGAAGTGTGAAAAATGGATTTGGTGTAAGTTTTTTCACTCTCACCACTGTGAAAGTTGTTTTTCAGCTGAAATGCCAGAAATTCTTTGATCTACCTTACAAAACAATTTCAATTTAAATTGGCATTTTCCAGCTCAGATGAAAGAGGGCACGCCATGGAGCACTTTGAAGTTGTCACAGTGCCTCTCTGGAATCCAGGCTTCTAGCAAAACCCCTTCAGAGCGAAGGATTTTGAGAAGACATTAGAGTAATGATCAGTTCGCTTTGGAGTTTTAGAAGTCTTTTACCAAACCAGCTTAACGGAGTTTAGCTTCTCCTCTTAAGTTTCATGGCTTGAGGCTTCTTTTCCTAATACATGGTAGAAGTCAGCTACAATGTTTGCATACACAGTAGCAACATTTATTTGCTAGATATATGTAGCACTGGGTTCTGCTGCAGTGTAAGTGTATTAAGTCCAATACCTAGGTACACTTACATTTAGGTGGTCTTGTCTTTGATTCTTTCTGATTTTTTCTAAAATTGCAAGGTTCTCTTTTTCAATGCCTTCATCCTCAGATTTCTTTCCATCAACAGGCTCTTCCTCCTTCATGTCATAGTGATCTAGGTCTTCAATGTCCTACAAGATGGAGGAAAATTCACTGAAACACATGAACTGCAAAGTCCAGTTAGCACAAAAGATTGCTCTCCATGCTGGGGTTTCTGGGGCATAGATGGTGTACGGTGAAGAGTACCAAATTAGTCATCTTTTGATGCTACTTTTATTTTGCCTCGACTTTGCTATCACCATTAACAGGACAGTCTCTGTAATTTAGGGAGGCTGTGTGATTGTACACAAGGCCCACACTCATCTACACTTCTGCTGGCAGAGACTTTGGTGGCAAAAAGGCATCGCTGTGGGAAGGGGAGGTTGCAGTTTACCAGTCCACTGAGACAAGTAGAAAACAGGGGTCTAGAACACCTCTGAAGGGAGCAGAGGGAAAGTGATCAGAGAAGCTGGAAATGAACCTGTCTAGAGCATCCTCTACAGAATCTTAATTGCAACTTTCCACTTCCATAGTAGTAGAAGTTTTACAACCGCTGAGTTTCTAATCCACATTCATGTTTGGCAAACATGAAAGACAGAAAAATAAAGTACATGTAGTTCACTATGTGAAGCTTTCAGCTGAAAGAGGCCAGAGAGAGCATCTGCATTACATGGACGTTAAAAAGGACAGAGGGGGTATATGTCACAGTTGAAGACATTAGACCTCAACTCAGATCTGGGTTCAAATACCAGTTATACAGTCATTCTGACCTTGGACAAGGCATTTAACCTCTGCGTTTTTAAAAATAGTGGGGATAGTACTTCCCTATCTCAAAGGGTGTTGTGAAGCTAACATAATTATTTGTAAATTGTTCAAGTACTAGGATTATGAGGGCCATGCAAATACTTAGATAGGCAAGAGTTCATAAGTTACTAAAAAGCAGTATTTGCTCTAGGGTTCTTGTCCAAGTTTTTCCCTCCTGCCACTGTTGTGCTTCATTTGACCCCCTCAGATGACATCCTCATTGCTAAAAAGGAGGCTGAATTTCAGTAACGCAAGTATATAGGATGTAACATACTTTGGAATCCTTCAATACAAAATGAAGTGTTATTTCCCCAAGAGTCCAGACTGGGAGTATATGCTGGAAACCTTGAGGTTGTCAGAGACTACCTGAAAACTAGGAAAGGTTTTAGAAGTGTCTTCCCTTACTTGGTACATTTGACAGCATTTTGTGTGCATTTCCCATCTGTGAGGTTCTTTCAGATGAGAGAAACATTTTTAAAAGGATATAATCATAAGCAGTGCTCTGGTATAATACCCCAAATTATATGGTTTTAAAATCTGGACTAGATTTCAAATGGATTAGTCTGACACTCATCTGTCTTCAGGGAAGCAATACATTGCTTCTATATAGCGAAGACAACCCTTTTGCCCAGTATCGTTTGTACAGAAATACGGGGTTGGTTGAAAGCAAGCAAGTTTAAGACACTTCTAGAAATGCTCCAACACTAGTGAATTCTGATCTACCTAGTAGCTGGCCACAGCAAACTCCTTTAGAGTTATTCCATTCCACAAGGTACATATATTTAAGTTCTTTTTGAAAAAAAGTTGTATTAATTCTCTATTCCAAAAACAAAGGGAACTGTATTTAATATCCTTTTTATTAAAAATATAAATTTTAAGCCTGAGCAGTTCTTGTCTAATAAAACCTTTACATTGTTTAAACACAGACATTTGTTTCTCTTTGAGCCATTCTAGCATATTAGGGAAGTAATTTGAGGTGGGAGTTGCATATATGAAGGAGCTTATTAAAATTAGTATCGTGTTGCTATACAATCATATTACCCACTTAAAGTTTAGTCTCTGCCATTTCACACTTTGCTCCACCTCTTCAATATATCTGAAGTTAAGGTTTTTTTTTAAATGGTTCAACTTATTTATAAGAGTTAGTGAACAAATTTGCTCTCAACATGAAGCCTCAGTTCCAACTTGGGAAACTTTTTAAAACTAAACAAAGCCAGTTTATAAACTATTAGAAATAAGAGTTTACAGTGCAAACTTGCTGATATGGCACAAGCTTTTTATATATATTGTTCGGACAAACAATGAACAGATGTCCATGTTTCAACACCCAAGAACCTCATTCTCAGCAGAATACTTTGAGAAACTATATTTTCGTGCATGAAGGGTTATCTGAGAATGCCAGCAAAGCTTTGAACTTTTTGGTCAACGTTCATACTGCAGCACTTTTCACAGGGCCATTTTTTGCCTAGAATATGTGCATTTTGTTTTCATTAGCAATCAAGGCAAGGATTGTGCAGCCTCTTGAACACAAACATCAGATTTACAGCATAACAAATTCTCATACACATACTTCACCCATATCTTCTTCCTCCTCCTCCTCCGACGTTACTTCTTCCGTCGTTCCATTCTGGAATACAAAATTAGGTTTCATGAATTGTATGGATTTTGTTTTTTTTTTTGCTTAGCATCACAGTAGCAGCTCTAGTATGCCAGGAAAGAAATGCAGTACATATGACATTTACATTTACCAAGATTCACATAGGACTGCAGCTTAATCTAAATGGATCAAACAGAAAGGTGATGCATGCCTAGTCTTATTTACTCCATTACCAGGAAAAGTGGTACAGATATATTTCTGTGTAAAGTCCAAGTTAAAATGCTGCCATGCCATTATTAGTTTAGCTACTGTAACATTAAATCTAGCAAAGTGGGAGCTTAAAAAGGATATGATACAAGGATAGCTATTTAAAGACATGGGTAACCTACTAAAATGAAATAGATAGCTTTCTGATGTCATGACAGTCATCTAGGTTTTCAGAACATTCAGAGTCCACATGGATATTATGATGGCCTCAATTAAGTCATGAGCTAACTAAAATCTGTTTACTTCTATAGAAAACATAAATTGTGCAACAATATTATTGTAAGGTATTGACTATGTGGTTTAGTTCAAATTTTTAATGAATTGTTGCATATTATATGGAACAGCAAGTTGAATCAATTCTTCAGTAACTTGCTGTAGATTATCTCAGGTTTGCCTTGAGCTTCCTAGTGTGACCAGAACTATTCAGTGAAACTACTTCCTTTTATGATGATCTAGTGACTTACAAGTCCATCCCAGAGTGGAGTTTCCTTTTCCTTGTGTGTAACTGGGGAAAGACAGATACACTATACAACTATAATCTTGCTCATTTTTGGTCACATTCCCATTTAGTCATTACTATATTACTGTAAGTTATTTTAGCACATGACAGTTTGCTGTTCTACAGGAGTTTAGAAGCCATGTTGTTATCTTAACACATACAAATAAAAAGAATATTCTCAGAGCCTATTACATATATTTAGGGCTCTACCAAATTCATGGCCATGAAAAATGCATCACGGACCGTGAAATCTGGTCTCCCCCCATGAAATTTGGTC